AGCCCCAGCGTCCTAAGCATACCCATACTTGCACATACGATCTGTGTGGAGTACTGCTTCCAGGGTCATTTGGCGTCCCCCACGTGAGTTTAATATGTTACTATGACATACTAGTTTTAATATGTTATTATGACACACATTAGGAAATGTTGCTTAGCACCTGCAACGGGCAGTAGAAGGCCTTGGCTACACTGACAAGTTGCGATCGATCTCTGTCGAAGCATTTGCTGTCGCTACATAGAAACACACTCACAAACACAAACACACACACACATGAATGTGGAGAGCTGTACAGTCGAGGGTTGGGGGGAAGTCAGAACATGTAGAAACTAACAGCACACACACACAGAGTGAGAATTGTTCTTTGTGTCGAAAGCTTTCGACACAAATAACAATTCTTGCTAGGGGTACCTGGGTCAGAGGCTGGAACCAAATGGTTTAGATACAGTGGATGAACCTCCTCCGAAACCATGAACGATTTGGAAAGCCTGCTGTAGAAGACTTATTTACATGCCTGGAGCTCTCTTAACTTGGATAGAATTAGTATAGTCAAACATTGTCATCTTCTAAATGCTTGAGAATACCATTATATTAGGCCATGACACCAGCCTTGTTCCGACCATGTCAGCGAGTAGACTACACTAATTGCCCAAACCATACCCTGCACAAGCCGTGCACTTGCATTGACAAGGCACTGCAACATGGGCTCGGATGGATGCCATGCCTTTCTGCACACTGCCGGCCTGAAGCTACACATTTGGCAAGGTTACTTGGCTTATATGATTCAACTGTGTTGGGGAATGAAGTTCCTTCACATATCCTACGAAATTCTTTGCAGTTTGACACCACTCATCTTGTACCCGAGTCCTGCAATTGGTGCTTATGTAGGTCAAGTTACAATACCGATATTATATATAGGCCAGCAGTACTTTACCTGTCGATCAGGACCATAGATACATATGTCAATACCCAGAAGTAAGCCGCACTGTACACACATTCCTGTTTCTACGACGAGGCCAGGCCCATAAATATTATAATTATAGATAGATAGATAGACTAGCAGTAGTCCTAGTAGTAACCGCAATAGTGGTAGTAAGGGTAGGACTAGTACTTATAGCACTGGTGGTAGTAGTAGTAGTAGCAGTAGTAGTAGTAGTAGTAATAGTACTAGTAGTAGCAGGAGTAGTAGTGCTAGTCACAGTACCTGTAGTACTGATAGTAGTAGTCGTCGTAGTAGTACTAGTAGTCGTAGCAGCAGCAGCAGCAGCAGCACGAGTTGTAGTAGTAGAAGTAGTAGTAGTAGTAGTAGTAGTAGTAGTAGTAGCGGTAGTGGTATTAGTAGTAATAGTACTAGTAAAAAGTGGTAGTAGTAGTAGTAGTAGTAGTAGTAGTAGTCGTAGTCGTAGTAGTAGTAGTAGTAGTAGTAGTAGTAGTAGTAGTAGTAGTAGTAGTAGTAGTAGTAGTAGTAGTAGTATTACAGCGGTATTTGCAGTAGTGGTAGCAGTAGCAGAAGCAGTGGCAGTAGCAACAGCAGTAGCAGTAGTAGTAGCACTAGGCACTAGGCCGGTAGTAGTAGCCGTCATAGCATTGGTAGTAGTAGTAGTAGTAGTAGTAGTAGTAGTAGTAGTAGTAGTAGTAGTAGTAGTAGTAGTAGTAATAGTAGCAGCAGTATAGAAACAGTGGCAGCAGCACCGGCAGTAGCAGTAGCAGTAGTAGTAGTAGTAGCAGCAGTAGTAGAAGTAGCAGTAGTAGTAGTAGTAGTAGTAGTAGTAGTGGTTGTGGCGGTAGTAGTAGTAGTAGTAGTAGTAGTAGTAGTAGTAGTAGTAGTAGTAGTACTAGTACTACTACAACTTCTACTACTACTACTACTACTACTACTACTACTACTACTAGTAGTAGTAGTAGTAGTAGTAGTAGTAGTAGTAGTATAGTAGTATAGTGGTATAGTAGTAATAATAGTACTAGTATCAGAAATACTAGTGGTGGTACTAGTACTATAGCAGCAGAAGTAGTGTAGTGGCAGTGGTCATATAGCAGTCTAGCAATGGCAGCTGTCGTCATCGTAGTCCTAGTACTACTGGTGTCGGGGGGTAATACTCGACCGGTAGTGTTTGCTGCTTATTTTACTAGTACGGCTCAGTAGTGGCACTAGTACTAGTAGCACCCAAGTAGCAGAACCTAGAAAAAAGACACCACACGAACAGATCACCCAAACTGGACCCCATCAGTCAGTGTACTAGTGTACACACATTCATTGCATGCACTCATGACCCGAAAGAAGGAAAGCAACAGTAGTATCATGGCTGGCTCAGACCCTGATGGAGGATGATTGCAAGAAGACTTGCATCTTTGGCTGTAAACCTGAGACTGTTATTCCTGTGTTTCTATATGTCTTTGTTTCAGCATCCAATAGATCTAGAAGTTGGACTTGAACAACACACCTACCCACTAAGTGTTGCTCGGATGTCCCCCAATAACGTAGTGAACTTACAAATACATTGCTGAACCCTTTAGGCTAAGAAGTGCTCTTGGATGCAGACTGTCAAGCCAAGCAGCACCAGATGCAACATCATCCATGGCTTTCTGCACAACGTTGCCTCCGGCCAGGTAGACAACGTTAGCTGGACCAGGTATGTGCTAGCAGGACCCTCGACCCACAATCCAAGCAGCACTGCATTCCAGAGGCCCACGTGCAAGACAATCCAATTTCTTCACACTTGCTTTCGAAGCCTAGAGAGCCACTCGTGAGGTTGTTCCCCCCAGAGAAGATCAGGATTCCCCGATCACCCAAAAGATGCCACAGTACTGAGCATCCTACAAAGCCGCTGTGAGCTGCAGTCAAAGTAATAGTGTAGTCTTCGCTTGGGCGGACCGGCGCACACGAACTATAGGATATCACATGACATCTACAAGCAGCTAGAAGGACATGTAACTCGTTACCTTGGCAGTGTACTATAAATAGACAATAATATATAGCTTAAGAAACACAGGAGGCCACAGCAAGCATGTAGGCTAAGCTCAGTCAGGCATCACACCCCTTATTGGCACTGCTGCTGTGCAGTGCACAAGGTGAGTCGCCAAAGACGGCAAAATCATCGCAGCGAAAGTCGCTACGATGAGCTGAGCGTCAGATCTGCATCCCAAGCCCATGCTTCAGTTCGATCTAGTCTAGCTCTGTCGAATTTAGTTCTAACTTTAAGCTGCAACCCGACTCCAGCCGAAACCCCCAAACTCGACACTTGCAGTCCCTTTTATAGATATAGACACCTCAATATATCGTAATACTATGGTTCAGGGTCCTTAGTCTATTCATAGTTTAGAAGCCCCACAAACCCATTCCAATTATTAAGGCACCTACATGGCCAGCTGACCAAAATTGTCAACTTGGGGTCTCAAGCTTCGGTCGCCTTTAGGTGTCGGCTGTGGAGTTTAGTTTTTTTGCCCAAGGTTCAGGGAGTAGAGGCTTTGGGTCTTGGTAGAATTTGGGGTTTACCTGGGGAACCGAAAGTGAGGTAAATTTCTGGTCGGACCGTAATCGGGCGTATTTGTGCGTAGGTCAACCCACCCGGGCGTAAATGTCCGTAATGCTGTTTTCTGTGCCTTATTGTTACATGCCATGTATCCTCCAAATCTCCGGTTCTCCAAATGATATTGGTCAATTTTAAATCCCCTATATAAAGCCCGAAACTCCTGCTTCCTTACCTTGAACCCAGATCCCAATCCTGATGAACACTCGTGACTCTAAATCCGACACCCCGTGACCCTATCGTTAAGTAAAAACCCCTGCGTTTCCCTCTCGATCCGAGGACCAAAGCAGACCCGGGAAATTCAAGGCAGACCGGGAATTATATAGGGGACTGAGTAAGTACATAAGGGCCCTATAAATGGATCTACCCCAAGTATAACCCTAAATTATCCGACTTACTACGTCTCTCTCTGTTAGAGTGCCCCGAACAGTATCTCCGAAGTTCTTCTTCAAGGAAAGCACCAAAATCCTACGCAAAACCTCCCATACCCTCGTAGGGCCTTGATCGGGGGAGGTTCTTTATAATAGGAGTACTATAGGGTTCTTTATAATACTGTTGATGATATAAATCCTGCATTACTCATAATATGCCATAATTCCCATAGTCTATGGTCCTTAAGGTAATGCAGGATTTATATCATCAACCGTAGGATTACTGTATAGGGCTTGCTTGTAGGTTCGGGGTTTAGCTTTCCTTCAATACCCACTGCCAGGCACATCGGCATTTGGCTCCTCGTCGTCTTCGAAAGATAATTAAGATAGGGAGAATATAGTAGGCGAATTATATTGAATTATATAAAGGATTGGGCAAAGCTGCCAAAGCTCGTCCAATAGCATGGGAATTCTTGTGGGATTTAGGGCGGATGTTTGTAAGCTTTTACAACGGGGTCCTACGCAAATGCCGCGGTTGGTCCAGCCTTGCGGAGTGCCCACGCAACTCCAAATCCCAATTCCCGTAAGCCTGTATAACCCCAATTATAACCGTGATAGAAACCCTTGCTTCCCTGCAAACCAGACCTGGAAGCTTCCGGTGCCTCGATCGGGGTTTTGGGATTTTTAGCATGTATACTAGAGTTTGCATGCGCCTAATTAACAATGGTTGCAATGGATGCTGCTTCGTCTCTGATGGTATGTGTGGGCCTGGCTGGAATTTCTGATTGTAATATATGAAGGTGCTCATATCTTTCCTTCCCCCGCCAGGTTCGGCCAATGAATGGCATTGCTGATTGAGCATGTGAGCCTGACTGAAATTATCACATACAACGCCTGCGAAGCTGGTGCTCTTTTGCCCTCTCCGGCCAGGTCCCAGCAATCAGAAGCGCCGGCATGGACACGTGAAGCGGTGCGCCTGCAGACAGTGCTTTGTGCAATTTGGTCGTTTCTGCAGGGGTTTGAATTGCTGCTTTTCGCATTCGCGTCTTTATCTAGCATTTTGCTTGCAAGGATTCCGACTGGAGGTAGCCTTAGGGTGGCCATGGCTAGCAATAGCAACTTTGATGCTAGAGATATGAAGTGGGTGGACGAACTTCCAGAAAAGTGGGAGATGATTCGGGCATTTCGGCGGCGGAGCCAGGAGGGCCGGTCGCTCGCACGGGGCTTGCATCAGCCGGGACACGGCGACAATGAGGTCGTTACTGCTTCGCTAGATTGCGCCAAACTCAACTCAGAGCTCCTACTTATCACGCTCAAGCTGATGGCCGACCACGCTTGTATTTTCGTCCCCCCGGTTTATCTTCTACAGGGTGCGTGTCTGGAATTCCACTCGAACTGCGGGTTTCCTGATGCATCGGCACTTGCAGTTGCTGGAAGTTCGGATGGTTGGGCCATCAAACGGCTACTTAACGTCCTGAAGCGCAAGTGGAGTCGCCCAGAGACCCCTCGAGAATCTTGCCCTGATCTTGCCGAACACAAACCCTATATGAACCCTATCCAATATCGAAACTATATAGACGACTAGATTTTGGTGTTTTGTAATATTAAGGTAGTCAAAAAAAGCCGGAATACTTCAATCCCAGGATATGACCATTCGTTCTCTGGTTGATGAGTTCCAGCGAGCTTATGTCAACCTGGAGACGGTGCCTCAATCAAATATTTTGCGGCCTGATAAGGGTTTATTTCGGTAGCCGGGACTATATAAATCCTTGGAGACCGCCTTCTACATAGTGTAGCACACGACCGAATACCGTACTCACCTGTTTAACTGTAAGGCAGTGGGCCCTCGTCTTGCAAAGCTTCTTCGAGAGAGAGCTGCAGAGACTGATGACCCCGGTGAGTTGGCAACTCTTGTGGATGCTGCCTCGGAAAACCCTCCGATCGACGAGGGTGTGGAGGTGGCAGCTGGCCATGGAGAAGATTCCGACGATGCCGGGTATGAAACCTCCGGCGATGAGGCTGAAGCCTCGAGCGATGATGGGGAAAACTCTCCCGTGGATGAAGCCTCCGGCGATGATGGGGTAAGCCTTGAGATTGATTCAGGCGATGGGGAAAACCCTGCCGTGGACGATGCCACGGGCAAGGATGTGGGTATGGCCGCGCCCGTAAATGGCGATGTGACACCGACGGAGCCGGATGAAGATGTGCATCAGCCTCCGCTTGCAGGTCCTGATCATGAGCCAAGGCCAGGGAACGCTTCAGATCGACTTTCGCAGCAGCTACGTCTGGCAGAGTTGAAGCTCGAGGCCAAGCGCTTGTGACTTTGACATTGGACAATTATGTATTTGTGGACTTCTATTTGCATAGAATTCAAACCAATCTTGCAGCATTCGTGTGTGTCTATGCACATTTGTACTACGTAGGATGGACATGGAGCGAAAGCACACTGCAAAGCAGTTGCAGCTGCAGCTGGATTCTGAAGGACTCCAAATGAATAATCTTAGGAATTGCAGATCCATTGTGCCTTGATTGCTACCGACGGGTGTCAGGACCTATCGCTGTTTCGGATGGGGAGGGAGATCTTCCCCGAGATCTCTCGGGGCCCGCGACTACCAGTGCGGCTCCCGATTTCACGGAAACCCAGGCTTATGCGGTGGACACGCAGATGCTGCAGGACGTGCTTGGAGGGCTCGATCAGGAGGTGCCATCGCCAGGCCAACCCTTGGCTGCGGGGAGACTTCCGAGCACTGCTGTGCTGCCGGGATCCGTTGACCCGGCCTGTGAGACCAGTCCCGATCCGAAAGAGACGGCCGCCAGCGTGGATCCGCCGAGCGAGGCTTTGGAGACGCCCAGCCCGAAAAACCTCGCTCCGCCTGAGATCTCCCCTGTGAAGACTTGCATCACCCGGGACTCCCAGCTGAGGGCGAAGAGCACTAAGGTGGCTGAGAATGCGGAGAAACCAGGACGAGGGCGAGGAGCTGGTAGAGGACGTGGAAGGGGCGGTGGCCGCCCGAAGAAGGATGCCGAGCCTGAGCCTGTGGCTGAGACCTCCAAGCCAAAGAAGGGTGGACGCCCCAAGAAGAATCCTGTGGCTGAGAGCTCCAAGCCAAAGGTTGGACGCCCCAAGAAGAATCCTGTGGCTGAGCCTGTGGATGAGAGCGCCAAGCCTAAGGGTGGACGCCCCAAGAAGCCAGTCACGGAGACGGTCGAGGAGGCAGGGGGCGGCTTGGAAAAGGTTCCGGACATTCCCCTCGATGTCGTCACCAAGGGCAAGAAGCTACGCCGAAAGAAGGTCTCCAAGCGTCGTCGTGCCATCCACGACGATGCCGCCGTCGTCGAGAAGGACATCAAGGAGGCGAAGATTGGGGGCACGACCGACGGGCCGGTCCTCGACATCCCGAAGGCTAAGAAGGCCAAGAGTGTGGACCCGAGCAAGGCCGAGCTTGTCGCGCCAACAACACGCTGCACGGGGAAGCGCAAGGTTGCGGAGACTACACCTGCGGCGAAGTGCAGACCTGGTTCCGGCTTGCAGATTCGCAGATCGACGCCTAAGGAGGAGCAGTGGCCAAACGTTTTCGCCCGGCGCTACCGTCCGAGCAAGGACTCTTGGATGCAGCGTTTGTGGGACGGAAGTGTTCGTGCCTTCTACAGCATCATCGCGCCCGAGATGGCGCCGGGCCAAAAGACCCGGTTGGAGGCTTGCGTGTATATACTTTATATAAACGAGTTAATGATATTTAATATAGGGTTTGGGTTGGTTTAGGGTGTAAAGGGTTGCAGGTAGCCCCTATAAAACGTTATCATAACCAACATACATTCCCTGCCCCTTCTCAGTTCGCCTTCTTCGACTATGCGAAGGACTACTCGAACCAGCACGATGAATCCTATAGCCGCGCGGCCACGTACAAAAGTTGCACAATGGCCGCCAGAGATTTTCTTGAGACACAGATGTGATCGCTTAGCGATGATATTTCAAAGCATCCTGCCCGAACTTATGATTATAGAATCTATACGTACCGGCGGAAGCCTAGGCTAGTGTATGCATGATGTATTATATCGGGTCTTGCTTGCCTGACCATGGCACGGATGACGGGGAACATCCATCCTTGGCTGTGTGCATCTGCTAGCGCAACATGCAATTGGGCAGCGAGCTGAAATCTCGCTGATGGGTTTGCTTACAGCTGCTAGTCTAGCCTTCACGCATTGCTTGTGGGATGGTTCCGTGCTACGGAGTGGCATCGAATCGCAAGTGCTGTGCCAGTTTCAGAAATTGGCAATGGCCAACATTCGTTAGGGCTGCTTCTGTGCAGAGGCCCCGAGGCTCCACATGCAACTGAAGCTTTGCCAAAAAATCTGTAACCGCCCCAGAAACACTCACGATCCCTTCAAGCCATAACTGCACTGATCCTGTAGGCGAGCCCTTCTAGTGGAGATGTTATCAACTTCCCAGCCCACCTGTTGAGTTACAAACCCTACAATAATCCCACTAATAAGCCTTCAACCGCTTGTATGTTGTACAAAACGCAGGCATCGGTATAAATGCCCAGTGCCCCATTGTCCAACCCTACATATATCCTAAGCGACTATCGTCATATGATCAAGAATTGAGATGCTCATGAGTCAGAACATTTAGGGTATCATAGTTGCCTCGGTGGTCGTAGGGTCCCATGGCAGGGTTTGCAGTGGGAAAGTTTTGTGGCTAAAAGGGTCCATGGCTGGAGGGTTTCGATGTAAGCTCATACAAAGGCTTCTGTGGTTTACGGTTACAGTACTCTTGATTTACTTTGGGACGTAGAAAAGTCGGGGCCTCGGTGCGCCAACTTGTGGGGCTCGATGACACCGTGCTACAGAGTGGCAATCACAATTAGCTGTGCTGCCAGTTTCATTGGCAATGGCAATCAATTGCCTGCGTTCATCACGGCTGCTTGTGTGCGAAAGATTGTCTGCCTAAAGCCAATACAGCCTCCTTTAGTGAAACCACAGGTCCCGAGGCTCCATGTGCATTCACTATATGTGCTGTTGTAGATTATGCGGCCTAGAGATATGGGAGTTTCCGAAAATAGGGGACCTTAATATAGTACTTTCAATAGTATAGGACCCTTATAATAAGGACCCCCAAATAAGGTACCCCTAATTTTCGGGAACTCCCATATAGCCCCAATTTAAAGCTTCTTGGGTTGCATTAATTATAGCACTCCTGTTTGTAGATTATGCGGCCCCGAGAATCGGATTATAAACCCATTCCCATACTTACCGGGTATACATATATAGTAGAAGCCTTTAGGAGGATTAGTGCTAGGATCCCCTTATACTTTACCTTAAGGCCATGGGGATAATGATGCTCCAACTTTCTGGCTTCTACTATATATATATGTATAACCAGAACTATATGAGAGTTTCCGAAAATGGGGGACCCTAATATAGTACTTTAAATAGTAAAAACCCTTATAATAAGGACCCCCAAATAAGGTACCTTAATTTTCGGAAACTCCCATATAGCCCCAAAGCTTCTTGGGTTGCATTGTTTACAGCACTGACCAGAGGTCCCGAGGCTCTAAAGAAGGCTCTGTAATCACTTAGCCTTGCAAACCTGTAAACCCTCAGAAGCCCTTCCCTGTAGAAACCCAGAAGCCCTACATAAGCTACTCAACTTTATACAAGCTGTACCCTCGCTAACCGTCGCAAGGCTTCTTGGGTTGGGATTAAAGCAGTCTTGTTTCTAGGGATACAGAAAACTTCGGGGTGCCAGGCTTCTCGTTTTGCCAACAATCCTATATCTAGGTTCTTCAAACCTCGAAGCCGTACATGTTCCGCCTGTGAAGAATCAACTCCTCACTCTTCACCAACTCACGTATGTATCATATATCAGTAGACCGTATATAAGAACCAGCTAAACACCCATATAACACTGTGCCAGCGGCTTCTTCGTGCAGGTACGAGCCGCCCTTCAGCGAAAACAGCGGGCAGCGCACCTCGTTTGTGCTGCTGTGCGAGCAAGTGTTGCTGGCGAGATTTTGGAAGGGTCTGCGAGTGGTTCATATGTCGTACTGATTCTGTGATGAGCTTCGTTTCTGATGTGCAGGATTGTTGAAATCAAGCCCAATGCCATGTGCAATTTTGAGAATCTGCCACACTGCCCTCATCGACAGCTCAGCTCAGACAGCAATATCTCAACTATCAGGTTGCACAGTCATGCGTAGCCACCCCACTAGCTGAGTCTTGCACTCATGGCCTTTTGGACGGTGGATCAGCTCGCTGTCAGCCTGATGAAGCTTGGGGCCCCCAAGGCCAGGAGGTATTAATGTCACAGTCTTGGGGAGTCGTTCGTTCAATTGTAGTGCAAAGGATTGGACATTGCATCTGTACTTTCCCTGCGGAGGTCTTTGTCCTTTCTATTTTGCTGCTTCTCTGGAATTCTGATCTAGATCTCTCGCAGGACCCTGTGTAAGGATCGATGCATTCCCTGCGGTACACCGCATGCCCAAACTGTTGCCCTCCAGCTACATGTGTATGTCAAGGAGCTGGACTTTGCTGAGCTCTTCAGTGGGCATGCCAAGCTGGCTCGGGAATTCCATTCTTCAGGTCAGGAGTCTGCAGCTATCGATTGGAAGTATGGACGAGGAATGAACATTTGTGAACCTTCGGGCTTTGGGCAGCTTGTCAAGAATCCTTGAACCCTTGTGTGTTCTCGGGGGCTTCCTTCCGGTTCCTCTTCCGAGGACGTTTTGCTGCGCTATCCTACGTGCTCGACGGAACGGCTGTATATGGATGGGGGTGCTTTGTAGCTCATGGGTCTCAATAGCAAAGGGATCAACGAAAAGGACCTTTGCCAATCCCGAGGGATGGGAAAGCTACCCCAGTGTTTCCAACGGAAACTACATGGCAGCGAGGCCTGCCCTGCCAGTCCAAAATATTTATTGTACAGGAACCTCAATTAAGGCATATAGCAGTTGTATCTTCCCGGCATGTATATTAGCAGTATACAGCCCATATATACATATATATATATAACCCTGTTACCCCCGAACCTTGCTCTAAACTGGGGTTTAAGGTTGCTTTTTTACAATACAGCTCCTTGAAGAGTTCCTATGTAAGGGTCCGATCCGGAATCTATAAGGTTTGATAGGCTTTGATTTAATGGTGGGTTTTTTTGTAGTTTATAGGATTCATGAGCCACATAGACCCGAAGCCCCTCGTCACTGAAACCGCTTACACCTGAGCCTTTCAACCGTTCCTTGTAGGCCGGGCTTTGTAAACCCTATAGGTAAACCTATTGGTAACTAATCCCAACAACAACTTTTCACCGTATACTATAGAACCTTATCCTCTGGTCTCGCAAAACCCCACTAACCCTATCCCCGTACTGTCAATTAAACCCCTTGCAAGGTGTGCCCTGCTGTGCTTACTCTGTCAAGCACTCAATGTTACATGGGTCATCGAGCAACCCCGGACTTCGCTGCTGTTTCAAAGCCGACGGTTCTTATGGCTTCTCGATATCGCGCGAGTTCCTTTCTAGCGCTTAAATATACAAACTCTGTCGTGATTGGGCTTTGGCTTTGGGTTTATGAAGCTTCCCGCCAGCCTTCGTATCCCAGGTATTTCGCCTGGACCTGTGGATGGGCTCCTATGGAGCGAGGACCCCGAAAAGGACGAGGTTGTGGAGCAATAGCAAGGTCATCAGTGGTTTCTTCAGCAACGAGAAGCTAAATATTCTCAAGGATGTCCGACATAAGACCACAAAAAGGTACAAGGACAGCAATGGCAAGGAGCGGTTTCAGGGGAACAAGAAATTGACAGACACTGGGAGCCTGGGTTAGCACGATGAATGTTTCGTCATCACATTCTGTAACCGAACAATATTGGCACACCTTGTGCAGCTAAGGATTTACACCAGGGCCTTCGCCTGCAAAGCTGTTCGGGTCCTCACTGAAAATATTCATGTGCGGCAACGATCTGAGCACCCTTGGCAAGAGGCCACGGAAGAGCAAGCCTTGTCAATGTTCGCACAGTTGGATTACGATGATTTGTGGGAAGATGCTGGTCTTGTGAGTGTTGCACACTATCTGAGAGGATGTGCGGGATTGCGCATTCCTCCACAGTGGAGACCTTTACTTCCTACGCGGTTATGATTCCTGCTGCAATAGGGCGGCCACTGTAATTTGCAATCGTGCCAATTCACTAGAGCGCAGAAGTGGTATGCTGCAACGGATGGACAATATGTGCCTGAGCTTGCACTGACGAGGTAGGGCAGGGTAGGACGCCAGTTGCACAGACGGGGAGAGGAGAGAGAGAGAGAGACAGAGAGAGAGAGAGAGAGACGGGACGCAGGCTAAGGACGCAGATGGGTAGGGATGGGTTGTGAAATGGGGTTATATGGGCCTATAGGGGGCGGGTTTTGGTTGGTTTATATTCATGCGTATAGTTTCATGAGCCAGTTTCGATCCTGCCGACCCCACACCGAAACCCAACCGAAAGCCTTCGGAAGCCCGCGCCCCTAGACCAAACCGAGATCCTATTCGTTTATGATGGATCCACTCTCTTTATGTATATAAACCACCCCAGCCCATGTCACCGAGCACTGCGGGTTTTGTGCGGTTTTGGGCTGCTTTTCTTCAGTCCAGCCAGAAACAGCGTAACTCGACCATAAATCCTGACAGCGGGGCCACCCGTAAACAACCGTAAATTGCTGGCCAAACAATCGTAAATCCTGACCCCCAGCCGTAAACTGACCATAAATTTCCGTAATTCGGGAACCCTGGCCCCAAACAACCATAAATTTACAACAGCGATATAACCATAAATGTCCTAAACGGGCCCGGTAACCATAAAAAACCATAAAAAAACCATAGGAAAACCATAAAAAACCATAAAAAACCATAATTCCCAACCGAACCCACCCCAAAGCTTACGCAAAATCAACCATAAATAAGCGTAGGAAATCCGTAGGAAAAGCGTAGAACGCCCATAAAAAAGCGTAGGTTGAGATAGCGTAATTCTAGCTATCCTTGACTCACGAGTCAAGCCGGCTGGATGCCTTGTTCCGCAGATTTTGCGCAGGCTTGCCATCCTTAGGCAATGGCTGTGGAAACGGCAAAGGGCCGAACCCTCTTGAGTAAAGCTTGGTCGGGTGCTTCTATGATGGAGGGTGCCAGGCTAATGATGCGTGTCCCCGTGAAGCAAGAGCTTTCCGAAGATCCTGATGTTTTGCAGCAGCAAATCGAGGACCCCTGATAATTCACTCGATCTGTTTGCTGTCCTTGCATTCGTCGCACATGTGTTTGCCTCTGCCTGCAAAGGACATGAAACGCCGAATGAACAGAATGCCCAAAAGTTCAGCAAAACCCCAGGCAGTAGAAGCCTCAGTGCTCTGCATTGATTACGTATATATGTTTTTGGAGTATGGTAAGTTGACGAGGCAGCGGCAACGGTGAGGAACCTGGATCCTGCCTTCGAGGTCCTATCGTCCTGTTGTCTTATAATTCAACCTCTCGCTGTTGCATTGGGATGCAGGAAACGTTGCGGACCGACACCCCGCAGCCTACAATCGAGAACAGCTCGGAAGCCTCAGCTAATGCAGCTGTGCAGCAAGGGTTGATCAAGAACTATCATAACATCTATATATAGTAGCCAAACTCGACAAGGCTGCGACGAACCGCGAGGGAACAATGCAGACCGATGCTCCTACAGTCCATCCCTGAGCAATGCCTCGCTTTCTGTGGATCTCATAATGGCCCAACAATTCAGGTCTCCTGCCAACAGGCTCACGAGACTTCTGAAGAAGCTTCGGAAAATGCCTTAGCCGTGGCCCAACCCTCAGCACTATAAGGTTTTCCAAGTGTATGAATATATATTCATAACACCCGACTCGACGAGGTACCGGCCTCACAGCGCAACACTTCCCCACGTGCTTCGACTGACCCAGCTATGGCCCAACCCTCAGCACCAAGGTTTTCGAAGTGTACTGATTCATTAACACCCGACAAGGTACCGGCCTCACAGCCCAGGACTTCCCCACGTGCTTCGACTGACCCAGCTATGGCCCAACCCTCAGCACCAATGTTTTCGAAGTGTACTGATTATTCATTAACACCCGACGAGGTACCGGCCTCACAGCGCAGCACTTCACCACGTGCTTCGGTTGACCCCGCTATGGCCCAACCCTGAGCACCAAGGTTTTCGAAGTGTATTGATTATTCATGAACACCCGACAAGGTACCGACCTCAACGCCCAGGACTTCCCAAGTTGCTTCCACTGCCCTAGCCCAGCCCCAAGCATCTGATGACTTCAATTAGGTTGTATAGTGTTTCACCCGATACATTCCAGGCCGTGGTTCCGAAGCGACACCATGTCGAGGAAGAGGAGCTTCTTCCAGCGCAGGCCTGAGCAATGTACGAGGATATACTCGTTGATGTGCTATGCTCCTGAAGAATCTACCAGGAGCATGGAATGATGGCTGAACCTGTCCTTCCACCGCCCATCGAAGCAGACCACCCGACAGCTCTTGTTCAGACCCCAGCAAATACCAGACACTCGTTTAGGACTGCGATCGTTCTGCAGTAGCCCAGTTTCTGAGGCAAGATCAAAGGCAGAACCGGAAGCTTTGGTTCCTATCGTCGGGGGCTTTATGCTGCTTCAGCTGCTCTTAGAGTCGCAGGTAGCACTGATGTGGTCTCAGGTCAGGACTCCGAACCATCCTACTGTCCTCTACTCAGTAGATATAATGAATCCCGACAAACCCAAAACCGTAAGAACCAAAGACTCTTCTCTGCGAGGCACGTCCCGATGAGCTGACCACCGAGGAGTCGGAGGATGGTCCGACAGCAGTGTTGCACGTGGGATCAAGGGTGTGTGGGTTCATAGGGGGCTTGCATGGGGCTTATTTAGGGTTGAGGCCTGGGGTTTTATAGGGTTGAGCGGGGCTTACAACGGGGGATGTGTGGAGGGGGGGACAAGAAGCAAGAAGAGGGAAGGTGCTCTTTCATTCTCGGTGCTATCGGCCAGCCCATAGCAGGGTTTGTAGGCAGGATTGTTGTATACTACATGAATTTGGGCTGATTTGGGACAGGTCCTGCTTTGTGATGAACACAATGGATGGTTCCATCCCGGGATCTTATTTTTATAAATTGGACAACACCCCAGCAACTCTAATCAGCAATAAATCCTTTATAGACCCTATAATGGCCCCAAATAGCCTTGGCACGCCTAACTGCGGGTTTAGAGGGTTTTTGGGGTTTACTTTAGGGGTTTACGGCTCTAGGGATCCAGGGTTGAGGGACAGGTTCTAGCTAGAGCTTCGGGTTTGGGAAGGGTTCATATATGAGAGCAAATATAGGCTTAAATAATGGCCCAAAAATCCTGTAAACCCTTTATAACCCTACCCGGAACCCCAAAGAAGGAGACACCGTGCGCGGGATCTATTCTGAATCTGCTGACAGAGGGCCCTCCAGTTTCCGTCAAAGGCTCAGCGAATTCACTGAGGTCTGCACTAGATATGTAGTCAATGTAGTTCAGCCTGACAAGGAACGGAGAAGCAGCTCCTATCCTTCATTGCGAACTTGATGGCTAGTAAGAGATCATCGGTGCCCGGGTCAGAGGACATCTGTGGTGAGTACACGGTCTGTCGTTCTGGGAATCTATAAACAAATGTCATTGAAGGAGCCACCTCCTAAGCGTTTCAAGCAAGAACCTGTACGTGCAGATTCATCAGCGTCTTTGGATTCGAGAGCCAGCGGGACCAGTGGCAGTGCGCCAATGTCAGTGAACACCGGATCCGAGACCCCGCCTCCGGCAGGAATCCCAGCAGCTGCTCCTCCGGCCTCAGCAAAGCCCAGTAACGAGGTTGTGCAAGCAGGGTTTGCGCAGAATGATCGTGAGCTCCGCGATAAGAACGAGAAGGAAGGTGCAGATGATGACAGCAGCTCTGACGAAGATGGCGAAGCCTACAGAAAGAGATACAACAGAATGGAAGCCAAGCTGCGACGATTCTGCTCAGTGAAGACATCGGGACGGTGCGATGCCGACAAGCAATTGATGAAAGAGTGGAAACAAAAAGGCCATTGCAGAGTGCAGCTAGTGAAGCTGATGATGGAAGCAAACGGATGCCGGGAGCCGCGGGGCTTCATGTTGCACCATATAAGCATAAATGATTTTAAGTCACTATGTGTCTGTACCATAGCCCATTTGCGAGGAGACCTTCGTGCAGAAGCTTGTGCTGTACCGCAAAACCGAGCAGTTCAGGAAGACCTCAACGAAAGGCGGGTACTACTCGGAGGCGGATATGAAAAAGCCTGTCTCGGAGGGAGGACTAGCGTTCACACAGTTCTTCAGCTAATATGATTGGTAGGTGTAGATTCAATACCTCACTCAGAATAAGCCAAGGTCCAAGGCCAAGAAGATTATGAAGTACTGCGAGGAACATGGACTGACACGGTGCCCTTCCTGGAATGTTCATGCAGTGACTGTACTAGTCCTTGTGACTACATTGCTGAGGAAGAACAAGTACGACGATACCGAAACCGAGTACTGGGTTGACTACAGGACAGAGGGTGTGAGGGGTGTCAACGAGGTTGATGGCATGGAGGAGACGAGATCCGGGCACACGGACGGTGTCGTGGCACCTGCTCTGGATGATCAGCCGATGGCAGCGAATCCTTTGCAAGAAGGGCTTCCAGCTGGTGTTGAAGTAGAGCAGGGAAAGAAGGCCGAGATTCTGTCGCTACTTCTATACACTTACTGTTGTTGTATCGCTTGCAATTATGTTAGCATCCTGTTGCAATATTCGCAGGGCTTGGCTGCAATTTCCAAGATGCTGGAAGAGGCCGTAGCCACTAGGAAGAAGCTGAGCAAGTTTATGGACAAGAACTCATCATCTACATCGAAAAAGCCCAACCCTTATTGTGCCGCACTTCGTGTATTCGTGCTGTGCTTCCAGTGTCGATTGCATACTTAGATGTAAGCCGCAAGCTCCTCGTGTGCTGAGGGAGGCCGAGAAGATGTCACAGGTTGTGGATGATTTGGGTGATGCCTATGACGAGCTAGTTGCTCTACAAGCCGATGCACAAGTGAACGGCCTGGACGACGAGTGCCTTGCAAGTGCACACAGGGAAACTAGTATAATTTGTTGCAACCCAGCAGCTTACCTAACCCCAAGACACACCCTAAGAAGCCTAATCCAAGCAACCTAAACCCGAGACACAAACCCGCCTAAACCCTAAACCCAAGACACACCCTAAGAAACCTAATCCAAGCAACCTAACCCCGAGACACAAACCCGCCTAAACCCTATAAACCCAAGACACACCCCAAGAAGCCTAATCCAAGCAACCTAAACCCGAGACACAAACCCGCCTAAACCCTAAACCCAAGACACACCCTAAGAAGCCTAATCCAAGCAACCTAAACCCGAGACACAAACCCGCCTAATTAAACCCTATAAACCCAAGACACACCCCAAGAAGCCTAATCCAAGCAACCTAAACCCGAGACACACCCGCATTGTAAGCCGTAAGCCGCTACACTTATCCTAAATTAAGACCCTGCTTGAGAATCTCACCAATCTTGTTTAGGGTTTGGCTGCAGGGTTTGAGTAGTGAGGGCTTATACAGTGTTATATATGTCTTTATTTCGGTTAATTCAACTAGCAGCTGAACTTAAACGCCTAATCCAAGCAACCCAAACCCAAGACACAAACCGCCGTTTGCGCCGGCGACGGCCAAGATGAATAGGTATACCAATATGGACATTGAGATGAATGTATTGTTACCTTGGATATAGCCCTCGATAGTATATCTACTCTACTACTATCTCTAGAAAATGCTGTGGGGGGGGACCCCAATAGCGGCCATGCGAGAGTCTCCCTTCTCTCCCGGACCCATGGCTTCAGAAAGCCGCCAGACGGGCGAATACGATGACCTGGTCACTCTGTGGTGCTCCAAATTCGTCATCGTCCCAATCGTTCTCGCCACTGCGAAAGTGACTGCGACAGTGTCTGCGAAAGTGACTGCGAAAGTTGCAGTGAAAGCATACACGACGGGGACAGCCCACAGCCGTTTCTCCGCTAACCTCGCGGGCCAGTTGCGGAACGGTGAGGAAGCCCGTGAGTTCTGCAGATTCTGCATCGGGATCGGCTTCTTGCAATGTCGCCTTCACTCGCATCCACCATAGTGCAGAGCTGCACAGGCTGATGTGTGATGACCAAGAAAGCTAGTGCGCTAGTGCTATTACTACCTCCGTATAACCTTTTTTTATTACTCTTTCAGCAAGGATCCATCGTATCTCAATTTTGTATACATTATACCGTAGCTGCTGGAAACTTTATGACACCGGTTCCTAGGGTTCTTGGGCTCCGGGAGGTAGGGGAAACCACTGTCGTTCTAGTTTACAGTATATCGGGTATGCAAGTAAACCCGGAAACCCCAAAGCCCAAACCCCAGAATGCCATGTAACCTATCATCCCAATGTACGCCTTAAAACCCCATCCTAAACCCTGATCCAAAACCCCCCAAACGCCAACCTGCAGGAACAGGAACCCAGGAAGAGCACGATTATCCCACATACTGTTGAATCCCCAATCTATAATCCCAAACCCCATGCCTGAAATCCGAAACTATAATGCCAACCCTAAAACCCTTAAGACCCTATACACCCCAAGATGCCAACAATTCCTTATCAAAGCCCAATATTTGCTCCTGAGGCTGCAGAAGAAATGCGAAGCCAAGTACAAAGACATCAAGAAGTTGTGATGGTCCCAAACATTACTTTGCAAAGCTGTTAGGATCTGTGTGCATCGAGCTTGCTGTGGAGATAAGGTGTGTTTTGGCTGTGTCGTTCGAGCTGAAGAACAGGTGTCCCAACCTCTGAAGGTAAGCCCTCCGTGAAACCACAACCCCTATTTGCCGCCTGTCAGGGGGGCCAAGCGGCTGCCAAAGCCCGACGAGAGCCGTGCAGAGAAGCCTGAGAAGAGCGGGCCGCCAAGCAAGAAGAAGCCGACACAGCCCAAGGCTAAGGCTAATTCTAAAAAGGGCGCCAAGTGATGCCGAGGATGCTATATGCTAGCTGGGGCCATGGCATTATAAATTTGTCTCTATACCTGGGCATCTGTAGAGACGGTTCGATCTGCCACGTGTACTTCGCAAATTAAACCGGGGTGTGGCTTTTGAACGCTACTGCACGAAGGATGTGTGCGAGTGTTCTTTTCGACACTGCATGCTCCCGAGCGCCAGTCTTCGGCGAAAATGATTGGATGCAACATGTGCTAATGTTCAACCAGAATTGCATATGGTGCAGCCTGCTTGTCTTTTCCTGGCCCTCGCCCTGGAAAGACTCGCTCTCCATGCCAGGTAAAGACAATGGTGGCAATGCTTCACACAAAGCTCGCAATATGGCGAAAGCTTATGGGCGGGGAGTGGGGTGCTCAGTTCGTGACACGGAAAGTCGTACATATACAGGGTTTTCCGGGCGGCTTAAGGAATTTTAAACGGATCTTCGGAAATTTCAACAGTGCCCTTGAACATACAAGTCCGAAGCACCAACCACCCTGCAAACCGGAAAACACTGCCCCGAACGGCCATTGCAAGAGCCCCGAACCTGTGTAATTACACGCCAGCAGGCCACACCCAAACCTTAACAACCCCAAAACCACTTCCTAGGTCCCGGCCAACGACATCGTGGGTCGAGCTTCTGCCTCCGAGAAGGATGGTGATCTTCTATGCCACACAGTGAGCGGAATCGCTCGGGCTACCCCAAAGCATGAAGAAGACGTGGTTTATAGCACACTCCTAAAGAACGGATTGCTTGTGGATGTCCCGTGGAGCTATGTGAATCTAGGCGACGGCTTAGAGGATCACCCATGCTTCAGGCCCCGTGACCTGATTGCTAGCCTTGCAGAACGAGGGCATTTCGAGGCAATCATCGGAACGCCACTTGAGCACAGCAACCTAGCCGAATACAGTCAATATCCTGAGTTTGGGTAGATCGAGCTTTCCAAAGCTTTTAGATTTGTGGCCCGTCTTTGTTCGCAAAAAGGTGATGTTGTACTTCGCGACTTCTGGTCACACTTTGTGGTGCAGTTCCCCACTCATCCTGTGGCTACTGACATCGCGAGTGGACGTGTCGACCCTAGCAGCCTCGTCCCGTTAAACCTTCACGGAGACGGCGGGCGAACGTACCGGAAAAGCGAGCTCATGCTTCTACAATTTCAATCTTGCATAGGTGGAGGAACCAACTTATCGCAGCAATCCAAGAAGCGCAAATTATCAGCGGAGACAGACGTTACTGCAGCTGGTGTGAACCTCAAGGGCCACTCCTTGACTACTCGGTTTCTCCTGAGCGTGCTTCACAAGCGGTACTACAGTGAGGACCCACTTCGATTCCGGAGCAAATTACCCGAAAGCCTCCCGAACCTACCTTCAAAATCCCAATCAAATCTTAAGACCCACTATAGACCCGAAAACCCCACAAACCAATCGATGTATCCTGGGCCTCGTAGAAAATTCGAGGCCGTCGAGCGCAGTGGATTCCTGGCGATTTTAGGGTTCGTGGGAGGTTAGCCGGGTTTAGGGGGAGGGTTTGGGGTTTTCAGGTTGGTGGCGGCTTATCCCAAAAAGCCCTGAAGGCCCCGATGCTGTCTAAGTTGCACTCCCTGCAGGACCCGTCTTGCCTTCTGGAACTACTTGGTTTTGTCTCAGATTGGTTTGGGTCCCTTTATGAGGATGGCTACGTGCATGCAGGCAAAACGTGGAAGTTCTTGGTGCAAGGCTTGAAAGGCGACCTAGTCTTTCAGGCCAAGGCATGCTCCCTGGTTCGAAACTTTGCCCGGGTGCAAAAACAAGTGCAAAAGGCTACGTCAAAGCCCCTGCTAGGGCTGTGCTGTTGGTGCATGGCTGGAACCTCCACTTGTGGTTTCGAGGATTTCAGCAGGAATCCAGCTTGGTTAACCACAGCTGCTGAAAATAACCCGGCGCCGTGGCCCGTGCCTCCCACGATTCTGCGGTCCATCCCGCACATGCCCGATGCGCCAAGCTTCCTGAAGGTTGATTTGTTTCACACGCTGAACCTTGGAGCGTACAAAGAGTTTGCTGCATCATCCTTGGTTTTGCTCCTTCCATATTTCGAAGGAACGAATAATGACGACCGCATCCTATCTTTGAATGCTCACCTTCAAGTCTATTTGAAGGAGACACGGCAGCGCTTGCATTGCGGAAAACTGACCCTGGAGAATATCGGAGCCAAAACCAAAACGATATTTGCAACTGGATCTTGGAACAAAGGGGAGGACAGTGTGGTGCTCATGAAATTCCTTCCTTGGGCTATGGATATTATGGACACTGTAAATACAATGGAAAAGCCCTGGCGCTACATCGATGTGGGGGCCCGAGCAGCGGGACAATGCATGAGGACTCTCTATTCGGCTGAAGCTTTTATGCCGAAAAAGGATGCGCAACTGGCGGCAGACTCCGGCTTCACCTTCCTTCAGGCTTACTCTAAGCTAGTTGAGTGGTCGATGCAGCACAATCTGTTGCTGTACAACCTGATTCCGAAGCTGCACTTCTTTCACCATTGCCTGGTCGACCTGATGAATGCTTGTGCTCAGGAAAACCTTTCCTGTGTGCTGAACCCAATCGTGAATTCCACGCCCCAGTGCGAGGATATGGTTGGCCAGATAGCTAGATTATCTCGCAGAGTTTCTGCGAGATTACCACATAGCAGAGTGCTCCGCCGCTATCAGGCGGCTTTGGCTGTGAAGTTCGGCTTGGTCTAATAGCTTGTGTATTAATTGCCCCCGAATCGATATCTATACCGAAGAGACCCTCTGGAATCCCAGCCGTCCTTCATCAGAGTGCAGCCGCAGCAGCCGACAGTGCATGAAAGGAGGCTTCAGAAGGCTGTGGGGCGGATTAATTGGGCATGGCTTTACTTTCGGCAGGGTTTTCAAGGTCCGGGCAAGCTTTTGGCAGGGTTATATAGGGTTTCTTGGGGCTCTGGGAGGCAGGCCACTGGAGTTTCTTGCTTCTGCATGGGTTCATGTTAGTGCTGAGGCTACGAGCTTGAAGGTTCACATCGTCCAACAAAAACCCAGCATCTAAACATGGAAACCCGTAAAAAAGCCCTAACATGGAAACCCGTAAAAAAGCCCTGCAACCATAAATTTCGTAATCCCGGAACCTCAAGCGTAAATGTGCGTAAAAAAAAAAACCGGGCGTAATATAACCAAATCCGGGGTCCAGGTAGGGTAATTTAGATAGGGTTGATTGGGATTAGGGTTTAAGCGCTAAGGTCGAGGGGAGTGACCTATAGGGTCCAGGCATTTCCGAATTCGGACTTAGGGAAGTGAGGGCTTGGGGCGTATGGAGTTAGGCCTAGAGCCAGAAATGGTAGTCCTAGTTGTATCAGTTATTGTCCTTCTCATGGTAGGACTAGCTAGAACAGTAATGTATGGCGAAACAAAAACATTGACACATATTTGTATCTTATACATATATATATATATGATCAGTATCGTCGTAGTAGTAGAAGTAGTAGTAGTAGTAGTAGTAGTAGTAGTAGTACTACTACTACTAGGTACTAGTACTAGTACTAGCACTAGTAGTAGTATACTAGCAGTGCTAGTAGTAATACTAGTAGTACTAGTAGTGCTTGTCACACAAGTTAGTGATGTTCGTCGTCGGTTTCAATGTACAGCTGGAGGCACTTAGTCGATATGCAAGGCCTTACGATTGTTGTTCTTGTTGTACTTTTTGGCATAAAGGTCTATTCTGTTGGCTGAGAGGCTCACAGGCTTCTATACATTATGACTGACAGCTTCAGGATCCGTGGCGCAGGCTGTTCTGGCATCAAGGCATAGATAGCAAGATGCAGCCCGATACCTAAAAACCCTAATCCCGGGCGACCCTGATTACCGATACAGTTGTCACGGATATGCCAACAAGTATACCACTACCAGAAACTACAGCTAGCTCGCAACCAACACCAGCACTGGCACCACCAGCACTAGCATGAGCAGTCCCGCACATACCACTACAACTACGGTATGATGACAGAAACGAGAGTACAGAAACCATCAAGTCATGATGAACCTAATGCAGTGCATGCTTAGATCTCTATATAATTCCTTTAGCGGTAGCACTTACCACTTGGATGGGCAGTGTAGAGCTATTGCATGTCCCGCATAAACTTACCAAACTCACTCATCTTCTTCTTGGCATCGCCCACCAGCTTTCCAATCTCATCGGCCTCCAGAAGCGAAGATAAGAACTGTGCAGATACAGAACAAGGACATCCCAAGCTGGGTTGTGGATCCTGCCCCTTTGCACGACACTTGGTGGCACCTTGCCATGTACCACCATGTACCAATACCCTACCACCAAGACCCCATAGCTTAATCAATTCATTTGAAGCCATGAATACATGGGAATACACAGATCAGCTACCTGGCCTTCGCTTCAGAATCACACTTGGCCTGCAAAGTGTCGCGCATTCCCTGCAAAACGACCTTCTGGTCACAGATCTCCTTCTTGAGGATATCGCGGCTCGGTGCTTTCCTGGACCAGAACTTTGATTCAAGTGTCTTCTAAAAGTTCTCGCCACACTAGCTGTTTACCGCATACTGTTTGCTGTGCATTGTTGGGTTTCTTTCTCGACCGAGTCTATAGATCAACTATGCAAAAGCAGTATGGGTTTGATTGGCGACTATTCGAAAGGGATTATTGGCTTCTGTCTTAAGTTCGTTGGCTGTTAGCTTTTGGGGCACATAGAAGCATCTTCGTTTAGAATTCTATGCAGGATTGAATTAGCATGCGACTGGAGCGATAGTACTACTACTACTACTACTACGACTACTACTACTACTACTACTACTACTACTACTACTACTACTACTACTAGTACTGCTACGACTACTGCTACTACTACTACTGCTATGTGTCTCTTAGGGCTGGATATGGGCCGCTGGGGCCTGCGGATTCCAGGAAACTGGGCTTTTGACTGTGGCGTGTTCTTCCCTTGGAGCTCCGAAGCTAAAAGCCAACAGCACATTCGTCATATATATATATAAACACAGATACATATAAATATATATATATATACATACATATATAAGTATGTGCATATTTAATACATTAAGTCTGTCTGTCTGTCTGTTTGTCTGTCTGTATGCATGCATGCATGCACACATGCATGTATGCAGATATGTTGTGTCCCGTAACAAACCTGAGCACCTCACCCACTGAACCCATGGCCTACCTGCCACTAATACAATGTACAAGTCATGCAGGGTATCCAAATGGGAGACAATTATCACACAGGTGACAGGTTTGGGGACCTGTGTGACAAAGGTTTGCTTCAGCTTGTGTACTAGAAGCCTATGGGCCCGTGATCTGAGGATCGAACATCTTTGCAGCGGCGATCTTCGCCTCCCGCTTGACGGCATCTTGGATCTTGATATTCAGCGTGTCGATGGCCTGTGATACGAAATTGGAGTGCGAAGCTTCGACTGGAGCATATTTCGGGAGTGGGTAATGGTGGAGTTTTATATACCTACATCTTCGGATAATTGAAAGTAGGGTTGTGCGGTTCCATCGTTTGTACGTTGTCTTTCTTCATACAAGAAAACAGCAACTGCACATAAGACATGCATGCATACATGGTCATGATCTACACTACTAGGTCTTGATCGATCTATGTGTTTATTACGTGCACACATACATACATATGTCTATATATAGACATGCATGATTTGTGTTCGTATATACATGTAACACATACATCTGAAGTTTAGGCCTGAGGGTATAGAACATTACAACTTGCTCCAGGCTTTTTGGTTAAAGGTTGAGAGGTTTACAGGGTTTGGGGGTCCATCGTATCAATCGTACCCAATGCAATGGTAACGACTCCAACAGCCACCCTGGCCACTTGTCATCATATGCTTACACCAACCTTTGAATTTACCGGCATATAGGGTTTGAGAAGAGAAAATGCGAGCAGGAGAGTTCACAGTAATTGGCAATATTATGATTCTCATTGGATTGCCCTGGGCCCCTCGTTACACTGAACAGTCAAAGCCACTAGAGCACACTGTCCTTCACCGATTCGGACCCAATTCATCACCAAACGGCCCTTGAAGCACACCCCGCTTCACATCTATGTAAAAAAAACCAACATAATAACACTACTTAACCTACTAAGTTATCAATTATTTAGAACATTCCTACACACGGAGACATGGTGTTCGAACTATGCACACATGCCACCTTCTTTGCATCTTTGACGATTGTCTGCCTCTTGCGCTCGAGCTCTCTGTCTCTCTGCTTCTCTTCCTTCAAGTTTTGGCGCTCTTGGCGCCTTTCCTCTTTCTCCTGCTCTTTCTTCTTCTCCTCTGCAGCCTTGCGCTCAAGCTGCTCAGCTGTCGGCTTCTTTCCTCCCTGCTTCTTCTTGTCCTTCTTGTCCTTCTTGTCCTTCTTTTTTTTCTTCTTGCTGCGCTTCTCCTCACTCGAGGATGAGCTGCTGCTCTCCGAGCTGTCAGACTCAGCCTCGCTCTCGTGCTTTCGCTTCCTCGAGCGTCCGCCTTCCTCATGCCCACCGTCTCTGTACACGGCCGATGCCATGTAACCAAGAATGTCCTCTTCCTCTTCTTCCTCGCACTCGAAGTCGAAGCATAGGTACAGCATGAGTCGAGGGCAATCTGGATGGCACTTGATCTGAGTCTTTCGGAGAACCGGATCCCTGGACTTGTATTCCACAACCTCGTCGGCGACCTCCTGGCCGTAGCGGTCTACGAGCTCCTTCACGGTCATCCATCGCCGCGCTCCACGTCTCTTGTTCTTGCGGCTGCTCTGCAAGGTGAGCAGCAGCTCACTGGAGTGCCAGTTTCCCTGGCACTGCACCCACCCTTCCCAAAGCACCGCCATCTGCTCCTGGCCTGCACTTGCAGACAACAGAAGAATTCATAATCTAGTGTAGATCTTTGCATTTATTCAGGATTCAGAACCTGTTCGCCGGTTTGATATTCTAAACTAGAAACCCCCCATGACTTTGGCAATCAGCATGCACATACCTGTATAAATGTCCTAGGATGAGGAAGTTTCTCAATCTAAGCTCAGATCTAAGTGGAAACAATAGTAACATATTGGCATGTTTGCGTACAAAAGATGCATGTATGTTTCTACGCATTTTCTAGTACGTACTACATACTATATTGTCATCATTATTATTGTGTGTGTATAGTATGTACATACGTACTTCGAATTCCAGCTGCGGCCAACTTTCCAAAGTTTGTTAAGACCTTCCAACTGTGCAAAATCTACGAAACACGGCTCATAACGTCCATTGCCTATTCCAACCAGCCCCCCAAAACCTGCAGAAACTTTATCCTTAGCAACACGTGTGGCTCGAGAAGAAGTGGGAAACCCACTGAAGCCACCATCGAGGCACATAAACGATGTACAAATGTGATAATTATCGAAGCTTGAAAGCCTGTACGTACCTTTGTAACATATAAATGGATAGGAATGAAGAAAATGGGTAGTTGTATATATATATATATATATGTGTAATAGATATGTATATGTATATGTATATGTATATGTATATGTATATGTATATGTATATGTATATGTATATGTATATGTATATGTATATGTATATGTATACATATATATATATATATATATATACACATGCATGTATATAAACACATATATACATATAAAGTCACACACACACACCCACATATTGGTATAGGAATTCTACAATCAAAGGTAAGACATCCCCACAGCCAGAGGTGAAGCCGCGACACTTGGCTTGGACATGAGGCTTTGGCTTGAACAGGTTGGCTGGGCAATAGGCCTAGAGGGTGTAAGGTTGGAGATTTGGGATTGATTGCTAGGCATTGAGGCTTGATGTTCAATCTTTTTTATTCGAACACTCTCGCAAACCTCATCAAGACTAGGAGGTCCAAGGAAGACAGGTTTAGGGCCGTTCAGGTTGACTAGAAGAGTATCCTGGGAAGTCGATTCTAGAGGCCAGGCGGGCTCCAGGAACTCATTTCGTGTGGGGTCACTGTGGGTGTTCAGGGTCATCTATCTAAGGGCCCTAGGGGCTATTGTACTAACACCCGGATTTTCAATATCCCTTACCCAAACAGCAAATCCCGTCAAGGGTCGAAGAACCTGCACAATTGCATCATCCCAAGATGAGCATCTGGCTACATACAGATTTATATATAATGTTCAGATAACAATACAAAGCTTGCTTGGGTATCCTCATACTCGAGCCTTGGTGTTTTACAGTTCATAAATTATGGAGCCATGGTACATGTTCAACAGTACTTGCATTACCAAACGCATGAAGCTCAGTCACACTGATTTCAAGCATCCCTGGTGTGGTAATATCTTTATCTTGGTATCTGCAGCCATGAAGCTTCCAGTGGCTTCGAATCCAGCAGCACGGATTTCAAAGGGTGTGCGAGAGCCTGAATACTTGCGGGGTGGCAACTGCAACTACCAGGGTCTCGAAGCTGGAGACTGAAAGTCATGAAATATTGAATTGATCTATACGAGAAATTAGGCGCCCGACTTATCAAGCTTCTGTAGAATGAGGCGCGCTTCCTCGCATACTCCTTGCGATTCTGTCCCTTCTTCTTCCGGCATGCCTCCTCTGGCTTCTGCTCAGATTCCTCCTCCGAGGTCTGAGCCGTGGCAGCCACAGCTGCTGCAGCCTTCAGGCCTGGGTTCACCTTCAGCAATGCTAGCTGGGCTTTCTCTGCATCTGTCATCTCTTGCTTCTTACTCTTCTTCTTGTTCGGCAAGCCACTGAGCTCGGGGGTCTTCATTTGATCAGCGGTGCTGGCCCTCTGCAGGGCCTCTTGGACCTTTGCAGCTGCATCTCCATTCTCACCGATGTTCTGTGGGGCAGGCTGCTTGCCACGGAGCCGTGTGCTGGCCTGGTCCTTGCTGCCCTTTCCTTTTCCTTTTCCTTTCATCTTTGTGCCCTTATTAAGCTTTCCTCTGGGTTTCATGAGAGCCTTGGCTTTGGCTTTCAAAGAGCCGGGGAGGCTTTGTTTCGTTGCACTGCTACGATCCGTGCTGAGGTCGGAGGTTCGTCTGGTCACAGGTGCTGGGGTCTTTGGTGGCGTGCTCGCAGGTACAGGTGAACCATCCGTCTTCACTTCTTCTCCTGTCATGATGATCATCCCCACACACTGGGGTTGCTATTGTGGATAGAAAAATGGGCCATGGGATTAGGACGAGGATTGTTTCACGAAGCAACCCAGTCGATGATTTGCCCTTAGTTATATATCTAGTATAACTTACAACTATTGACCGGCCTGGATTCTCAGCAGCAGCTGGATCAGGTGGCGAAGTCTTCGTCCTGGTTTAGGGTCTAGTCTGCACGAGACAAGCTTTTGCAATGTTGGGTTTCGGACTTTAGGGTTTGAGGGCTTGGGGATGTTTTGGGAAGTGGGGCTTCAGGGGTTCGGGCTTGGGCTTGGGGGCTTTAGGGTTTTAGGCCTCCGGGTTTCGGGTTTGCAAGTTATTTAGGGCTAGGGCTTCGAATTTTGGGGTTTCGGGCTTTTGGCTTGCAAACTTGGCCATTAGGTTTTGGGTTTGGGGTTTTTTGGGAGGTTCTTGGAGTGCTGGGGTTTGGGGCTTCAGCATTGTAGGCCTTGGGGTTTGGGGGTTTGCAGCTGTATGGGTTTAGGGCTTGGGGTTTTGGGGTTTTAGGGTTTTAGGGCCTGGGCTTTGCGCTTTGGGGTTTTAGGGCTTGGAGTTCTGCGGTTTGGTGTTTTAAGTTTTCAGGCCTTGGGGTTTTAAGCACTTATAAACGATCTTTCGAGCTCCTAAGCCCAGGACTCCTTCTGTTTATAACTTATCTCCACAAAACTGGCTCCTGGGCATCTGCATGTGTGTATGTATGTATATACATATATACAGGAGAAACGAATAAGTTAACAAATCAATATATGTACATGCATATCTAGATAAATATGTATATATACAGATATGTATATATATATATATATGTGTGTATATACATCATCTATCCCTGTACACAGGCACAGACATACACGTATGCATATCGGCCCCCTTCACCTTAGGTTGCTAGCTTGAGCACACACACTCGAGAAAACACACACAAATATACAGTCATGTCGTGCGCACATGCTCACGGAAACCTACAGTCCTCAGGTCAGTAGGCCTCAGTCCTTTGATCCCAGACCCGATAGAAGCTCATGGGGAATGAATTCTTGGTTTTAGCTGTGTTTAGCAAACATAATATATTATCGATTAGTTCGTAGTCACTTCCCTACATGGATTCCTCACCCTATCCAAGGATGGGCCCACCTGCTCTCAGCCATCTTCTTCAACTGCTGGGCTGCTTCCATGGCTTGCCGGACTGCAGCGGATGGCGCCATCCCTGCAAGGATGCCTCGAAGCCTTATAATTAAGTATGTCGTTGGGACACAGCAGCCCTGAAAAGACAAGCATTCGGCTTCGGCCAACTGATATACGTCGTTAATTAAAACTGTATCCAGGGATGGAGTCTAGTCAAGGTTATTCACACATATACCAATGTAGTAGATCTATATAGAGCAAACGCATTTGATCGAGGATTCTCAAGAACCTGTTAATTTGTAGTTGCGAACACATTATATATATATGTGTATATAGATATCGATATGTATATAATATGTAATGTAATGTACATGTCTACTGTAGTACCGTATGAAGCGTAGGTAGGCCTTCCGGACAAGCGGCCTGATCAGGTACCCTGCAAACCCAATTGGCCACTAAATAAATCTATATTAAACGATGGATCCCTGGCTGGATCTACTGCTTGCTTGGTACAAGTTGCAAATATTTCTGTAGCACGGTATGAATCACGATCGACAAAACGCATAACATCCTGTGCGTTTATATAAAGCATGACCATGCTCAGCAGCTGCAGCAGAAGGCGCCGGCAATGGGGCTGATTCAGTCGACACTGCTCTGATCTGATGGGGCTCGGCAAATCTGCGTCCTTGATGTTGGTTTCGTTTCTGCGTTCTTGTTTGTTTTGATGCGTTTGATCTGGGCCGGTATTTTGAATCGGGCACGCACAGCGTCGGAACTTGTCGGAAGGTTCACGTCAATTTTTAGGGTTTGCAAAACTATGTCGTTCTACGCCTTTTTACTGTCGTTCTATGCCTTTTTACTGTCTTTCTACGCCTTTTTACTGTCTTTGTGTTTTGGCCTACTTTCGAGGGTTTTTCAGAAGGACGCTAAATTAAAAAAAAACGCTCAGGACCTAATGGCTGGCTATTTTTCGGCGTTGGGCAGCATGGCATTCTTATGTTGTTGCCCTGGTGGCTTGGCTAGCAGCATCGCCTAGATTTGGCGTCATTGATTATATAATATGGATATATATATATATATATATTATATTATATGATATTATATTATATTATATATTATAGTATATATTAATTAGAATTAAATCATTTCATGCAATTTATTTATTTATATATATTAATATATAATTGAATATGATCGGACTATGGTTGACTGACTCTGCGTAGCTTTATGTAATGTACAGATATAAAATACACACATATATATATATGCGCGTATATAGCGTGTATATATATATATATAATTAATATACGCATATTCATGGCCGACAAAAAGAACATGTATGTGTGTATATATACAGTATGTATGTATGTGTTGGCATATATATATATATATATATATATATAGAAATATATATATATATGCCATATATGTATATATATATATATAATATATATATACATGCATATATTAACTTTTTATATAGACTATCGTGCGTATATAGCGTATATATATATATACATATTATTATACCTGAATCGTAAGTGTCGCTGCTGTAGCTAGTATAGTATTATTAT